CACCCATCTAGTCCATCCCTGTACCTAACTATCTCCAAACCTTCAGTTTGTTCTCTATAGTTAAGAGTTTCCTATGGTTTGCCTCCCTCTCTTTTTTTTTTCCTCTCCCTATGTTCATCTGTTTTGTTTCTTAAATTCCATATACGAGTGAAATCATATGGTATTTATCTTTCTTTGACTGACTTTTTTCACCTAGCATAATACACTCTAGCTCCATCCACGTCATTGTAAATGGCAGGATTTCATTCTTTTTTGATGGCTGAGTATTATTCCATTGTGTGTGTGTGTATATATATATATATATATATATATATATATATATATATATATATTTTGGTTTTCTTGAGACATAATTGACACAAAGCTCTGTATAAGTTTAAGATGTACAGCATAGTGATTTGACATAAACATATTGTAAAAGTATCACCACAATAAATCTAGTTAACATCTCTCTCCTCATATAGTTACAACATTTTCTCTCAAGTTTTGCACTTTATTTTTTAAAGTAAACTCTACACTCTACCTGGAGCTCCAACTCACGACTCCAAGATCAAGAGTCGCATGCTCCACCAAATGAGCCACCAAGCACTTCTGAAATTTTACAACTTTGAATATGTACAGTTTATTGCTGGTCAGTTGTATCTTCAGGAAGTTATTAAGAAAAGCCCTTAGTTGTAACAATTAAACAATGCATAGGTATATAAAGAATCTCCTCTCATCTGACACCATCCTGTGAGATTCTCTCCTTGAGACTACCAACATGAATAGCCTGAGGTACACAACCTTTCAAACATTCTCTCTAGTTATATAAACTTTACAGGGTTTAAACATTTTGCAAAATGGGTGACCAAATAAGATGCTATTTTTGCAGAATTTTATTAGGGTTTTAAAAAATCTCTGCTTATGCATAAAAATTTCTAGGTGTTCTGATATTGAGGCTCACTTTTTATAGTTAACACACCTTAGATCCTTTACCAGCCAAGGGGATATAAAACTACAAATAGAAGCATCTTGCTTTGAAGGAAATTACTAGATAGAGGAGTCTGTCTTCACTGAGGGAGGGATAAGTTCAAATTCTTTCTATATCAAGATGCTGTTTTCTACAAGATGTAATTTCATCTAGAAAAGGAAAAGGATTTTGCGTTTTAACCTGTAATTAAATTTGCACTCTAGGTTAAGCACTGCACAGGGATGTTAGATGTGAGCACATTCAATTGTAAACAGACCTTTCAGGATTGTTTTGATTGCAAACTAGAAAACTGTACCAATTCCAGGGTTCTACTACAGGTCAGGATGACTTTTAAAAAACCCTTCAATTTAAAAAAAAATATTAAAATATGCACTGACTGCAAAGAATGCAAAACATGCACAAGTATATAGGACAAAATTCTTTTCTCTCCTGATCTGTCCCTCATTTCATCTGTTAGACAATCACTGTCAACAATCTGCAGGCATTTTTCCAGACTATATGGTGCCCGTGGGCACACATGTGTATGTGTGCCTGCTTTTATTTTTGGTTTGTTCATTTGCTTTTTCTTTCAAGTTTTAGAAAATTCTGATAAAACAAATGTGACATAAATCTGCCATTTTCATCATTTTGGGTGCCAGTTTCATCATCTTTAAGTGTACAATTCATTGGCATTAATTACATTCATAATGTTGTGCAACCAATCACCACCATTTCCAAAACATTTTCGGCACCACAAACAGTAGCATTAATCACCACCCCCCCTTTTCTTCCTCATCCCAGCTCTTGAAAATCTCTACTTGCTCTATGAATTTGCCTATTCCAGATAACTCATATAAGTTGAATCACAGAATGTTCGTCCTTTTGTGTCACTTAGCATAATGCTTTCAAGGCTCATCCATGTGGCATCTATCAGAAATTCATTCATTTTTATGGCTGAAGAATACTGCATTGAAGACCTAACTTTGCTTATCCATTCATCTGCTGATGGACACTTGGGTTGTGTTCATTTGCTTTTAACAAACATGATCCTAATATACATAATTTCGGCAGGATTTCCCCTTTCACCTCACACATTTCAGGGGCCACACTGTTCTATTGGATGAAAATGCCATCACTTATTTCCTACTCTTCTATTAATAGACATATAAACTGCTCCTGTATTTTTGCTATTAAAAATGCTAGAGTGATTGTACTTGTACCTACAGCATTTTATATTTGTGCCAGTTTGTCTGGAAGATAAAGTTCTATTATCTGGTTAACAGAAAAGTGCATTTAACATTTTGATAAATACTGCCAAGTTAGCTTCCAAAAATATTGCTCCTACTGACAGTCTCATCAACAGTGACTATGAGAGCCTTTTTGTCCATGTCTTTCCCACAAGGTGTATTTAGAATTCTTTTGTCCTTGCCAGTGTGACAGGTGCACTTACTTATTTAAACAAAATATACTATCATCGGGGCTAATATTCAGTAGCAATGCATTTATGCAGCTGCACTCTATATTAAAATACTACAATTTTCTCCATAGTGGTTGTTAAGTGATCACTGCCCTGAAACCTACATTCAAACCCTGCCCACCTCCACACACCCAGCACCTGCAGGGTAAACACCCTGCCCAGCACCACTGTCTATACTCGTTCAAGTTAGTCCTTATTTGTGTTGACCAGTTAGCATTTAGAATCGTGTTCCTGTCTCCATGAGGCTAATTTTGTGTGAGACCCATTAATTATCTCCTGGCTCTAATTCTGAACCTCTAGTCCTATCAAGCAACCATCTGTCTCAATGACAAGACCTGTGCTTCCGAGATCAGGGACCCTGTCTCTCTCATTCATTCTTTGATTCCCATAATGTTTTCCAAGTACATCATATAGCAGTTGCTGACCAGGATCCCAGAATATTCCCATGAATACACCATCCTGGGCCTTGCAGAACTTACAGACGGAAGGTAGGAAACATAACTGAAGAACCAAATAAAGAAAATCACTTCCACGAAGAACGGGTGCCATATAGGAAAGGCTCTGACAGTGAATGAATGAATGGTTAACTGCTACCTTCATTGCCAACCTGTGCATCCTCTCTTCTACTTCTTTTTTAAAAAGATTTTATTTATTTATTCATGAGAGACACACACAGAGAGGCAGAGATATAGGCAGAGGGAGAGGCAGGCTCCCCTCGGGGAGCCTGATGTGGGACTTGAACCCACGACTCTGGAATCACAACCCGAGCTAAAGGTAGACACTCAACCACTGAGCCACCCAGGCGCCCCCCTTCTATCTACTTTAAACAGCCAAACTCATCACTTGGCAGACTGGCAAGGACGAAAAGAATTTTGGATGCTCCTTGTTACAAGAATATGGAAAAAAGGCTCTCAGTTACTGTTGACAAGAATGTCAGTAGGGGTGATATTTTTGCGAGACGATGTCACGAGGTGGGGGTTCTCTTTAGTAGACAGGTCTGAGACAGACAGAAAGGAACATGCAAATGGGTCAGGTGTAGGGAAGGAGGGCATGCAGGCTGTTCGGGTGGTGGGTACAAAGGCTCACGGGTAGCATGTCATGCAGATAGTGTGTGCAAAAGAGCTGATGTGATTTAGAGGGACAGGAAGAAGGTATGAGTGAGAACACTAACCAGGAGAGGGTAGAGATTAATGGCCAGAGCCAGATCACACTGTGCCTTACAGATTACAGCCAAGAATCTGAGATGACCTGATTTGTAATTTAAGATCCTACATCACTTAAGTTCATATTCTCCAATTCTTCTCAAAGTACCTAATGACTATGAGTTTGGGAGATGCACTGAGATCCAGGTAGCTTCCTTTATCCTTGCCTGGGGCTCACAGGTTCCTGTGGTAGTGGTATGGACAGTGCCTATATGCCCAGGTTTAAACATATTCCCCTCCAACCTCCCTCTATCTTTTAGGCTCCTCTACGTGTCTACTCCACAAAAAACAAACAACGGAAATTTCCATCCCTGAAGGATACTTTACTCAATGTTAAAATCAGCTACTAATTATTGAGCACTTTTCATGTGCTCGCCATTCTTCCAAGTGCTTTGTATCTAGTAACTCATTTTATCTACTCATCCTCATCTACTCAAGAAAACTGAGGCAAAGGAAGATTAATCATTTTGACCACAGCACAGAAGTGGTCAGTGGAAGAGCAAGAATCTTAAGTCCATGTCCTTGGCTTCTAGATGCCAGCCCTCCCCAGCAGGGGATGGCATGCAGACATAGCAATCCAATGGTTTATTTCACTCAAGGAAGCATTTTGAGAGACTGTGTAAATGCTGTCCCTAGCTGTTGTACATTCTACTTGTGCGCGACTCATACTTTTGCATATTATACATCAAAATCCTTCAAATCACCTTTGTGTGTCAACTATGGACTTGTGAGATCAGCTAACAAAGAAACCTCCTGAGACAGTGTACGGTAGGTAGCACTGCCTACATGCCTGGAAGTTTGGTTTCCACAGCATTGCTATAATGAAATATTTCATTTCGCTCTTATTATATTATGAAAAGTAGTGGAAAAAGGGACAGAACCCTCCAAAGTATTAACAACTAAAGGTACAAAGCCCAGCTGCCTGAAAATAATCAACCACTAGCTTGCTTAACTGTCCACTGGGCTTAGCTGGTCAAATGTTCAACTGTGAACAAAAAGATAGTAATTTTACAACTGAGTGTATAAAATATTAGAAATATACTGTAGGAAATGTGTTAACGGCACAGCATAGTTAGCACAGTACTTATTTTTGTTTCTGTTTGTTCTGCTGTCTGAGAAGAGAACCCCTTTATTAAAAAGTAAGTCTATTATTCAACTTTTGGGCAGTTGGCTTTTATTTGAGAGTAGGGAGCTAACTGCATGTATTTTCTTCCTCACTGCTAGAACACAAATACTTTGATGTTAGATCATATCATGTATCTTATCCTATCCTATCCTCTCTCCATTTGACAGGTCAATGTACACTCACACACTGACATGTAGAAACTCACTTTCCTGTTCTAACCCACCATGTACAGGGATGTCCACTTACCTTTACTAGTAAGTGTTCTCTTGACCTCCGTTTGTTTTTATTGTAATAATCTTTGGATTTGTTTTGCCATGCACAGATGTCATCTTTTTCTTTCACACATTCTTTCTTCTGGATTTCTCATCCAAGCCTGTAATACAGAAAAGAGAAGCTCCTTAATTTCTGTATGCACACAAGAAAGAATTAGAGATCTCAAGTCAGTAACACTTCTAATTTATCTCTAATTTTCCCTTGGGTGGCTACAGTTTAATCACAGTTTTAGAAATTTACCTAATGAGATTTAAAATAGAGCTATCTCCAAATACACATGAAATTGAGGCTATTCTCAGCCACTAAAGATCTGGTACTGATTTGGCCTCTTGCATAATGCATTTCATTGAATAGGTGGTGTCACTGTCTCTGTAGGGGAGACTGCAGTGCTAAAACTTATCTACAGTCAGTCAAAAAATCAGGGCTGTGAAAGTGGGAGAAATCAATAAAACCCCACCTTAGAATCCATGTTCCAGAATTACTAGAACCAGGATAGCTCTCCCAAATCTCATTTTTAACAGCTGTCAGTTGTGGAGAGGAGGAAATGCATGTCATGAATACTGATGAAATTTTGTGTGTGTGTTGCGCCATAAGATTCTCATTTATATGTATTTGTGTCATTTTTCCAATAAAAGAAAAGGAAACAGCTATGCCTCAGAAGCTCTCCTGAAGTCAAGAAGTGTGCTTCTCCTTGTCAACTATGGGTCAAACTGTTTCACACACACCAGTGTGTAAAAACTGGACAAGATGGCAGAAGCAGCAGGTGTGGCACTCACTGTTTTGCCATGTGGGTAAATAAAACTCAACTGTTGGACCATCCCCATGGCACCTCCTCACTCCACCTGCCCCTCAGCTCTCCCTGGACAAGGATGTAGGTGTGAAGTGGAAGATGGCAGCAGGAAGCAGAAAGAACTCGTACAATTTGTGCATCAGCACCTTTGCCTCTGTCTCCTTACTGATGCCATATGACACATCCATCTTTTCTAACAGGAACTAGATGTTCAAAGAGCTCAAAGGCAATGACAGCATAGTATAGGTTGGGAGTTTCCTGCAGGCAATATTTTCAGTATCCTTTTTGGACAAAAATAGATTTGTCTTAGGAAACAAAAGAGTTAACTTATTTTTGAATCTTAAATCTAATAAGATGATGGAACACCTGGGTGGCTCAGTGGTTGAGTGTCTGCCTTTGGCTCAGGGTGCGATCTTGGAGTCCTGGGATGGAGTCCCACATCGGGATCCCCGCAGGGAGCCTGCTTCTCCCTCTGCCTATGTCTCTGCCTCTCCGTGTTTCTCATGAATAAATAAACAAAATCTTTAAAAAATAAGAATAAAAAATAAAGCTAATAAGATGCTAATTTATGTAAGGTGTTTTAAATTAAACATTAAAATTCTACCAAAATTAAACTTAAATAGTGGGATCTAATGTTGATAGAGTATAGCTATGGGACTAGTGGGATGGTTTGGGTATACCAAACAGAATGAAGACCTCTCACATCCAGTCATCTCCTTAGTCAACCTGGCTTCCAAATAAAAACTGGATATTCCAAATATACTAGAGGTATGGTATAGTCCCAGTTTTTACTTTACAGATAAGATAAATGAGGTTCAGAGAGAGAGACGGTGACTTGCAGAAGGATACACAAGGAGAACTGGCACTGCAATGACTCCGTATATTTTCTGCTTTATCAAAACATCTTTCTACAACTTTCATGTGTCCACCAAGTGACACAAGTTCCTTGAGGGGTTAAGCCTTATAATTAATGATATAACAAGCAGTATCTTGCATCACGTATACGGAAACTAGTTAATTCTCTTACTTCTTTAGTTTTAACAAAGACTACACAGCTGATGGAAGCTCAGATCACCGGTGCAGAAAAAAGAGGGGTGCCTGGGTGACTCAGTCAGTTAGGTGGCTGACTCATGATTTCGGCTCAGGTCATGATCTCAGAGTCATGAGATCAAGCTCTGATTGGGCTCCACACTTAGCAGGGAGTCTGCTTGAAGATTCTCTCCCTCTGCCCCTGCCCCCACTTGCGCTTGTTCTAAAATAAATAAATCTTAAAAAACAACAACAACAAGGGCAGAAAAGAGAAACAGACATTTCCTGATTGCCCAGAAAGGCAACTATTTATTGAGTGCCTACCATAAGCCATACAGTGTGGGAGGCACATCACTTATATTGTAGCTGATGCTTCTAGGAACTCTGAAGATCATATAGGTATTATTATATGATGATGAGGAATCTGAGTTGGGGAAATATGATACCTTGCCTGAGGTGATACATAGCTAGTGACTTCTTTGTTGTTTTTTTGTTTTTTCTTTTTTAAATTTTAATTCCTGTATGGTTCATATACAGGTAATACTAGTTTCAGGTGTACAATATAGTGTCAACACTTCCATATATCACCCGGTGCTCATCACAAGTGCACACCTTCATCCCCACCACCTACTTCCCCTTTCCCCCCACCTACTTCCCCTGTGGTAACCAGCAATTTGTTCTCTATCATTAAGAGTCTATTTCTTGGTTTGACTTTCTCTCTTTTTTGTCTTTGTTCATTTGTTTTGTTTCTTAAATTCCCCATATGAGTGAGATCATATGGTATTTGTCTTTCTCTGACTGACTTATTTCACTTAGCATAATACTCTCTGGCTCCATACATGCCCTTGTAAATGGCAAGATTTTATTCTTTTTTATGGCTGAATAATATTCCATTTTATACACACACACACACACACACACACACACACACACACCACATCTTTAACCATTCCTCTATCAATGGACCCTTGGAGCACAAATTGGTACAGCCACTGTGGAAAACTGTATGGAGTTTCTTCAAGAAGTTAAAAATAGGGTGGCTAGGTGGCTCAGTTGTTGAGTGTCTGCCTTTGGCTCAAGTTGTGATCCTGAGGTCCTGGGATAGAGTTCCACATCAGGCTCCCTATGGAGCCTCTGCCTATGTCTCTGCTTCTCTGTTTCTGATGAATAAATAAATAAACTCTTAAAAAAAAGAAGTTAAAAATAGGACTACTCTATGATCCAGCAATCACACTACTGGGTATTTATCCAAAAATATAAAAACACTAATTCAAAGGGAACATGCACCCCTATGTTTATAGCAGCATTTTCTAAACTAGCTAGTAAGTTCTTTGATTCCATGTCCTCATACACACTGACTTCCTGCCTGTGATGAATAGCAACTATAAACCCAGGAAATATGCATCTATTTGAAAAGTCCAGAGCCCAGGAACTGAAACAGAATGGATAGTATTTAAAAGGAGACTAAAGAAAAGAAGGGAAGGAAACTAATATAAAAGCATTATGGGAATATATTCAATAATAACTGGTAACAGTTAGAAAGGATATGTCTTTACGATCTTTGAACATATGCAAATATGCAAATGTAATTAGAGCGTATCATGTAACTTCTCCATAAAATTCGGTGAAGGATACTTGTGATAATACTTGTGATATTAAGTACTTGAGGGTGAGCAAAGCAGTTCAAGGTCTCAGCAAGTTAGGGCAGATGAGATAGGATCACCTCTGTACCAGTTTGTTTAGACTGTCATAACAAATGCCATATGCTGGGTGGCTTGAACAGCCTTCACAGTTCTGGAGGCTAGAAGTCCAAGATGAAGGTAGCAGCAAGGGTGGTTTGACCTCTTGTGCATCTTCACATGTCTTTTCTCTGTGTGTACATCCCTGGCATCTCTTATTGTGTCTAGATGTCCTCTTCTCATAAGGACACCAGTCAGATTGGATTAGGGCCACCCTAACAGCCTAAAAGCCTCATTTCATTTTTTTAAAACTCACATATAATTAACATACTGTATTACATGGGTTTCGTGTACACCATAGCGTGATTCAACAATTCTATACTGTACTATACTGCTACTCAGTGCTCATCATTACAGGTGTACTCGTACTCTTAATCCTCTTTATCTCTGTCACACACACACACACACACATACACACACACACTCAACTGCCCTCTGGGAACTATCATGATTACCTAAAAAGGTAACTATTTAGAGTTGGGTTTTTATGTTCATCTCTTTTTTCTTTGTTCATTTGTTTCTTAAATTCTACATATGAGTGAAATTATATGGTACTTGACTTCTTTCACTTAGCATTATAACCTCTAGATCCATCCATGTTGTTGCAAATGGCGAAATGTCATTTTTTTATGGCTGAGTGATATTCTATTGTATATACCACACACACACACACACACACACACACACACATCTTTTTTATCCATTCATCTATTGATGGGCAGTTGAGTGCCCATAGCTTCCATACCTTCGCTATTATAAATAATGCTGCAATAAATATAAGGGTGTGTGTATCTTTTTGAATTAGTGTTTTTGTTTTCTTTGGATATATACTCAGGAATGGAATTACTGGATCATATGGTAATTCTATTTTTAATTGTTTGTGGGACTCCATACTGCTTTTCACAGTGGCTGTACCAGTTTGCATTCCCATCAACAGTGCACAAGGGTTCCTTTTTCTCCATATCCTCATCAGCTCTTGTTATTTCTCATGTAGTTGATTTTAGCCATTCTGACAGGCGTAAGGTGATATCTCATTGTGGTTTTGCTTTGCATTTTCCTGATGATTCATGATGTTGAGTATCTTCTTATGTGTTTGTTGGCCATCTGTATATTATCCTTGGAAAAATGTTTATGTATGTCTTCTGCCCATTTTAAAATTGGATTATTTGGTTTTTGGGTGTTGAGTTGTATAAATTCTTTATGTAATTTGGATATTAACTCCTTATTGGATACATCATGTGTAAACATCTCCCATTCAGTAGGGTTGTTCTTTTGTTTTGTTGTGGTTTCCTTAATTGTGCAAAAGCTTTTTATTTTGGGGGTAGTCCCAATAGTTTAATTTACTTTTGTTTCCCTTGCCAAAAAAGACATCTAGAAAAATGTGCCTATGGCTGGTGTCAAAGAGGTTACTGTCTATGTTTTCTTCTAGGAATTTTATGGTTTCAGGTCTCACATGTAGTCTTTAGCCCATTTTATTGTGTGTGGTATAAGAAAGTGGCCCGGTTTCATTCTTTTGCATTTAGCTCTCCAATTTTCCTAACA